TCATAGAGAATAAAGCTACGTACGTGTTGAGCATATCACCGGCTGCGTGGAAGCATTCAGAGGGCGATTTATTCTGTCGAAGCAAAGGGTCAATTAAAAATTTACTATTAAATACTTTCAAACTGTAGGAGGGGAGTTACCTGGCATTCAAGACCTGAGAGGATGAGCCAAAACACGTCCATCGCGGAGAGTGGTGTCTTATACACGAGTTGTAATGTAAAGGAGGGCATAAAGAGCTCTTTCCGCTTGAACCTATCGAAGCATTGTAAAACGGAGAAGAATGGGATTACCCGTAGCGTTCTGCAGCATTTGCGAATAATGAGTCCAAGTTATCCCTTACTTCAAGTGAGAGAATTGAGTATTTCTGAGCGCAATCCTTTTGAGAAATTCTGGAGCAAACAAGAAGAAACAAAAAAACATTCCACAAAATAATTACGCAATAAAATATCGTTATTCAAGGTACTCCCGCTATTTCGTAATTAGCTGTTCCCTTTTTTTTCACGAACTTCACAGGCTCATTACGAGAAATATTCACAAAACTTAAAGTAGGAAGAGGAAAAGTATTCCATAGCTGCTCCTACAAGAAGTTCACATTCTATCACCTCGCTTGCTGACAAAAATTGATCCAATGGGATGGTCTCCAGAGTTCCACTCATCATTCTCCATTCTTGCACATTGAGACCTGGTTCACAGATACACGTCATCTCACATGTTCAACTATTTTAACGAACCAATAGGCCTAGTTAAATTATTACATATACTCGTTTTCAACGAATCCACCAGAAATTTGGCGCATCAAATACAATTTTTTAATATTTACAACACATCCGGTTATAAAAATGGTACATATAACGATCATGACACCATTTTCGTTATGCTATATATATTCAATTGCATGAACAATTTTTTGCAAAGGTAAATTGATCGAAGAGAAGCAATGCCTAAGTTGAAAGAGTGCCGTAGAGATAAAACACCACAATTTCCGACTTTGAATTTAAAGTTAAATTGACTTTAAGGTAGTATATGTGGCAAAAAGCTTTGCAGCAAATAATTCAATTCGGAATCTTAAATAACACAATTAATTACTTTATATGAAAGCAGCCCATCCGTGTAGGGTTGAAATTTGAGGGGAGAGCCAAGTGGGTGTGCGATAGACTTACCTCCACGTGGTGCACCCTGGAAATATGCCTTCACTATCAACATCTTATTTGGAAGCGGAGGGGTGTGTGCGATAGACTTACCTCCACGTGGTGCACCCTGGACAGCGTGCGATAGACTTACCTCCACGTGGTGCACCCTGGGCAACTTTCAACCCTTGCTGGTTTTCTAAACAATTATTCTTAAGAATACGATAGACTTACCTCCACGTGGTGCACCCTGGACAACGTACGATAGACTTACCTCCACGTGGTGCACCCTGGTCAACGTATGCGCATACAGCAAAAAAGTCTTAACCGGCAGTTGACTTCTGACTTCAAACTACCATAACCCCACTGGACGCCATATTCTACCACTTCCACAGTACTCATCTTAGTTTTTTATACATTTGTGTCTGTCCCTTTTACATCTTTGAAACACTCTTCTGTCCCCTCTCCCTCTAGGCCTTTTCACTTTGATGTTCCTTCTCCTCTGTGGAGCCTGAAGTCAACTAAAGGGCTAATAGTAACTATCAAAACGCCTGCCATTTGATATAAATAAACTTTATATGAAAGCATGATTAGTCTGCATCTCTAGATACACAAGCGGACTTGACCAAACTTACCCTATATGAGCCAGAAAATCCTGCATCTGTGATCGTCCTTCTTTCGTAAATAATTTAAATCTCGTTGATGTGAGCATCGTAGTTTCCATCGATTCTTTCAAGCTCCAGTGTCGATACAGCCAAAGAACCAGATCCTCTGTGAAAGTTATGGAATCCTTCCGCGAGTTGCCATTCGAATTAACAGAGGATTTCCTATTATTCCCCCCAGCCTGATTAGCTGCATGCAGTAGTCGAGTGACATGACTATGGAGGTTTTCAATCTGATCAAGATAATGCGCTCGATTGATTTTGCACAGCATCACCTGGCTTATATGTCCCACAATTGCGCACCTGAAATTGAAAAGAAATATCTACTAAAAAAATAAGTATGTCGTTTAGATTATAATAGACAAAGATTCATTTTTGAACATAGGTAATTAAAAGAGATACGTACCAGAGAAGAGTAAAATTGTCTAGTGATTGTTTCCAAGCGACATCAAATAGCACGATAGACGAGGCAGCGGCGTAGTAAGAGAAACTCTCGTATTCGAGGAGAATTTCTTCTCTTCGACGCTCCCATTTGCGTCGATTAATCTGCTTCTCTGCCCGACGGAGATTCCGCCGATGCCGTTTCTCTGCGGCTGAGGCCGCACCTTCACTGTCCCCATCTTCACTCTCTTCCGATTCATCAGACTGAATCGACAAAAAGGACATTTGGATCCAAAAGTAAGGAACATTTTAGAATTAATGTAGCATTATAGGGTGCACCCCGTTTGGGGATCACTAATGATGAAACAAATAAACTTGATTGGCTATTGTCTTTTAGGATTGTATCATAGTAGCAAACAAAGATAAAGAGAAAACAGAGGATAATGCTTTATGATCTGTTAGCAAAAGGAAAGTCTTGGAAATAAAGTGTGGTGAATCAATTATGAGGGAGAGGATGGCTATTGGGCTAAAGAATTAGAGTTGACGAGTACATCTTGGCAATCGATAGGGACAGATAAGCAACATAAGGGTGCGCCGCAAAGTCACAATAGACGTCACATAAACTTAAGGAATATATTTTAGTTACGGCACTTCAAGTAAATCTGATTAGTCGATTAACTATTTAGCACTTGCTGCAAGAGGAAGTTGGTGCTCATGCACATAGT